TAATTAAGACCAAATACATATATATATATATATAAAGATAATAAACCACGGGAAAATGAACTCTTTGCACAACGAGATAAGCATGATCAAACACATACATCAAATAAATGAAAGCAGTAAATGATATATCAAATATTTTAATGTTAAACTAGTAAGGTACTCACAGGGAAAATTTCTAGATGTGCAGGCCAGGTAGACAACTTTTTCTTCCCCGGACGAACAGTTTTTACGACACGATCGCAACGCACCAAAAGTTTTTTTTGCAACAAACTATTAGCAATATCTTCAATTTCCAGATTTCTATCTGACTCCAGTATATCTTTAAGCTCAGGATGATTTTTCATAAAGCTTGCAAAATCCTTCCCCCTGAAATATTCAACACGAGTTTCCTGCAAGATAGCCCATCTAGACTCTAAATCTTTATGGTCCCTCACTTTCTCAGCAAACAATTGAAACACGTCTTTCTTGGCAGTTTGTTTCTGGGTAGGAAGGAAATGATACATAAATTAGATTATATAAAATTGAAGAATCACAAGCAAACAAAAGAATCGGGCAGCACGTGCATACCGAAAAACAGGTAAAGCCTAAAAGGCCATAACCACAAATCATGACAGAAAAATAGACAGATGAGCACAAAATGTTAGTGTAGATTTTTAAAGCTTTAATAAGTTCAAACGTAATTTCATTTCACCAGGGAAGCAACATTTTCTGAATCGTTGGACAAACTAATACGAAAGTAAGTCAACATAATTTCCTCAATTTCTTTTGTGTGATTACTACTTAAGTTCCATCTAAAGTTGAGTAATTTTAATTTTTAGGTGGGATTCAGACGCAGTCACTCAGAACCTTAATTTTCTTTCAGTGGAAGTCGAAAAATTGGATACCACAAGATGGAACATTCTAGTACGAAGTAACCCTTCCAAATGTAATGAATAATTCAGACATCTGATATGTGTATACATTTCTAGGAATCTATCCATTCGTTTCTTTACAGCAAAAGATAATTAAAAAGAACGTTCCAACAAGAAAAAAACTGCATTGCATCAATACAATTAAGCTGGTTCCAAGAGTTAATACTAATGATATTAACAATTCAAATGAAATTAGATAGTTTTCTTTGCTCACGAAATGATTATAGAATTTAAATTCAAACCATAAAAACACGGATCAAAGCCAAATGAAACATAAAAAAGTAGAAAACCCTAGATCAGAGAAATAAGGGGAAAGGCGGACCTTTGAAGGGGTGAAGGAACTCTGATCTCTGCTGCCGTTTTGTACGGCGGCCGAAGATCTCCTGGCTTTCTTCTTCTCCGCTGCTCCAGGTTTCTTCATTTTTCCGCTGTATTTTTCTCTGCTATTTGGTTTCCTATCCTAGTATTGTATTTTCCGTTGTTTTCTCTTCTGATGCTTCAGTTTTATGGTTTTTTTCGTTTCTGTTTCTTCTTTCTCCTTTTCACACTTTCCTATTTTTCTTGCATTTATATATTGTGTATTACCGAATCCCAAATGAAATCCTGGATCTTTTCTCCAGCCAATAGAGTTCAGCCATGTCAGCATCATTATGACCTGGATTTCTCTTTTGCTTTCTGCTATATATAGAGAGAACCAAATATACATATTACGAAAATGAATAGATAAAAACGATATATTATATGTTGACTTCTTTATTAGCACACAAAAATTATAAATAGATAAAAATTTATAAATTTATAATATTTTTTATTATTTTGAAATTTTTGAAAATTTCAAATAATTTTTGTATATTTTTTTCAGAACGTGAAATCAGTAAATTTATATGATTAGTTTGAATAAAAGTATAAATAAATGTGTGTATTCAAACTAATACTTGATGATATGATTAGCTTGAATAGGCCTACGCTTATAGTATAATGATTATCATTGATAAATAGATCAAATGTATATGTTATATGTGATATAATATTTGATAGTTACAAATTGTATGAAATATATGCTTAAATGAAGGCTGAGTAAGCAAGTGAAGTGAATTACGTGAGGTTGAGATTAAAAGAAAAATGATTGATGTTGTCGTAACCGGTTTTCGTCCGGGCACGAAATATTAAATTTGGCGGGGAAAGTGATGTGAATAAATAATTTTGAAAATAATTTGTGAGTCGCCATCGACCTTTTGGATCAGGTAGGTCGAATACCTAAAATTTTTTCTTTTAAAAGAGTTTTTTTAAAAAAACATCAATTAAAAAAATGAACTGATCTGCGTTTTATAACCAAAAATTCGTTCTTAATAATAAAAAGGGATTCGTGGTCGGTTACGTTTAGGGAAGGATTAGCACCCCTACAACGCCCAAAATTGGTACTTTTTAATTATAAATTGTCTCTATTATTAAAATTATAAAAATTCAAAAATATATTTAATTTATAATCCTATTATTTCAAAATTATATATAAAAAAATATTTATTTATTTAAAATATCAGAAAAGAACTTCTAGGTGCCTTAAGACAGCTCTTTTCTTTGATATTGATAAATATTAAATTTAAATAATATTGTTTAAAAAATATCAGAATAGGACATCCAGTTGTATTAAGACTGTCCTTTTCTTCGATATTAAAAATAAACATTAAAAAATTTATTCCAGATTTATTATATATATATTTATGAATACATAAAAATATTTAAAAATATAAACAAATAAAATTAAAACAATAAAAATACCACTAAAACAATATATTTTAAAAGCAATAAAATAAATGAAAACTTATAAATTAAATGACTAAATTATAGTAAAATTAAAAACTTAATTCAATATTAATCAAAGTATTAGGGATTAAACATGCTATTTCTTTATTTTATTTATTTAGTGACTAAAATAAAATTATCTAAAATTCGGATATTATAATAAAATAAATTAAAAATATAAACTAAGGATTAAAATATTATTTATTAAAATTAAGGGATTAAATCTGCTATTTATCCTAAATATATTATTTTAATATAAAGGACTAAAATGAATAAAAATTAAAATTAAAGAACCAAATTAAAAGGATTATAAATTTGATTTAGTGACTAAAATGTAAAGTTTACAAATTGGGATGACTGCGGACGTGGTTTAACTATTCTATAATTACGCGCATAGTCCTTCCCAAAACGATGTCGTTCGGGAAGGACTATATGGTCCAAAACGGCTGGCCCGAAGGGCCAGCCTTCATTTTTCATTTCTGTTCTCTCTCTAACTGAGAGAGAACAAATTTCTCTGCCTTCTCTCTAGCTTCCCTCATCGGAGGGAAGCCGGTCACCGGTCGGCCACCGTGTGCCGCCGTGAATGCAACCGCCGGCCACAGCATTTGGTGGCCGGAAAAATTTATTTTCACCCTAATAGATAGATCGAACCGTCCTAAGGACGGTCCCGGTGTTCTTTTCCCTTAAAAAGCTCCTAATAGGAGCGAATCTACAAAAATACCTTCGATATTTCGAAGGTTCTGACGAGATCCGGTGGTCGAGGCTTCTTCGGTAAGTTTCTTTCCTTCCTTTTCCTTCTGTTTTTGGTTGCTGGATGTTTGACTGAGATCGTTGGTTTAGTAGTTTTTTTTTTCCTTTCTCTGTTTTTTTTTTCTGTCTTCCTTCTCCGTTTTTTTTCAGGTTGGGGTGGTGGCTTTTATAGCCACCACCGGTGTGGCCATCGGACCAGTCCGAAGATGGGGTCTCGGTGAGTCACCGGACTACCAGTGGTGACTCACCCCGTAGCCATGGCATGGACGGCTGGCGTTGATCTTCTGGAGTCTTCATTTGGGACGTGGCAGCGGCGGAGGCGGCGAGAAAGTGTCGGCAGCCGCGTGGAAACGGGGGTGGCGCCGCGTGGCCCTAAGGTATCAAACCCTAGGGTTTCCCTCTGGAGCCATCTGGACCGTTGGATCTTGCCAGATCCAACGGCAGCAAGCTGAGGCGGCTGGTTTAGATTAGGGTTAGGAAACCCTAACTGGAAACCCAAATGTTTAGGGTTTCTGGTTTGATTTGGACCGGTTCTGGTTTGTTTGTAACTGGGCCGGTCCAGTTGTAATTGGTCTGTAATTATTATTTATATATATATGTTTAATATATATTTAATAATAATAATAATAATGATGATAATAATAATAATAATAATAATAATAATAATAATAGTAATAATAATAATAATAATAATAATAATAATATTAATAATAATAATATGGATAAAAAATTAATATCTTCAGATGTTTGGTTGTAAAATTACATTGAATAGTAAGATTGAATCATGTACATGTGATTTGTATGTTGAATAATAAATGCATGTATGGTGATTTTGATAGTTGAAAATGAGTGTAAATGGTTTCTTGCAGTTTAAGAATGCACTTTAAGTCCTTCTTGAGCGTCAGAAAGTTATCTTATTTGTTTAGAGGTCTGAATTTCGAAACTCAAAGCTCCAATTTTGAAATTATAATCTACCTTATTTTTTATTTTTTATATATTATTTAATCAAATATTAATTTATTTCTTTATATATTATACCTTAAAGAAATAAAAAAAAAACAACTGATGTTTCAAAAATATGTATGTTTTCACAATGGTGCCCTAACTTAAACATAAGCACACAAGAGTCCAACCAAAGATTCCGACCTTTGACCTAAACAAGGTTCTTGGGTTTGGATTAATCTATAAATGCTGCAGTATAAAAGTATTTATTTTGATCTTATCATTCACAGGTTGCTTTAATTACTTGTGATTCCCCAATCACCCTGCAAATTTCAACTTGGATTTGGTAAGTCTATCTCTTTCATCCATCCCTACTTCTTCCTTTAATTAGGTGGTGGTGGTGGACCTGGTGGTAGTTGTTCTTGTTTTTCCCTTTACATTTGGAATTAACAATAAATTAGGAGAAAACCAAAATTAGAAACAAATTTAATTTTTCTTATTTTCTTTCTGTTACTTTGAAGTTTGGATATTTTAAAACAAAAAAAATTATAAGATTAAAAATAGAAAAACAAGGGGGGAAAAAGAATGAAAGGACTTCTCCTTCTTCTTTTTCTCTATTAATCGAATTAAAAAGAAGAAATAGAAAGTGTTTGAAAGAAGAGGGCTTTGACACTGCATCTCTCTCTTCCATATCATCTCCTTCCTCACATTTCACCAAAAATATAGAAAACTCTGTTCATTTTCCTGAACACCGAAAGGAGTTTAATTTATAAAACCCTTCTGGGTTTTTCTGCTTTCTCAGTGCCCATAATTGTTAGAAAAAAGGTATCGTTAGAAAAAAGGTGGGTTTTTTTCCTCCCATTTTTCCCTAAAACAAATTGCTTGTCTTTGTTTAAGGTGGTCCATTTTTAGACAAATTTTCTGGGAGTTTTTTTCTTGTTGGAGAGGGTTGTTGGCACTTCGTGGAGAATATTGTTTTTCTGGGTTTGTTTCTTATGTTAAATACGTTTCAAAGCTCCACTCTTCCAACTTTTTTAGTTTTATTTTTTGCAGAAAAAACTCATTTTTTACCCTTAAAAACTACCTGATGTTGTAGATCTAAGAATTGTGCTTTGGCTATGGATATGGTTTACCTCATAAGTTTCTGATCATGGTTCCTTATTTCATCTGTTTCGCCTACAGGATTTTTCCAAGAAATTTCAACAAAGTTGAGAGCTGTTGATTGTTTTGGAGCTTTTCTTCTTCTTCTTTTTTATCCATGGGAAATTGCTGTGTTACCCCCAGTTCGAGTGTTGAGAATAAGTTGAAGGGGCAAAAAAAGAACAAAGCTAACCCTTTCTATGGAGATGAATTTGCTGTCAACAATGGATCTGCAACTAACTTCAAGCTAAGGGTTTTAAAGGAACCGACTGGTCAAGATATTTCAGCTCAATACGATCTGGGCCGTGAGCTGGGGCGCGGTGAATTCGGGGTGACATATCTGTGTACCGATGTGAACTCTAGTGAGAAATATGCTTGTAAATCGATATCCAAGAAGAAACTGAGGACTGCGGTTGATATCGAGGATGTGAGGAGGGAGGTAGAGATAATGAAGCATTTGCCTAAGCATCCTAATATCGTGACATTGAAGGCTACCTATGAGGACGATGATGCTGTTCACATTGTTATGGAACTGTGTGAGGGAGGAGAGTTGTTTGATAGGATTGTCGCAAGGGGACACTACACTGAACGAGCCGCTGCAGGGGTTATGAGGACAATCGTCGAAATTGTTCAGGTTGAATTCTGAATGATCTTTCTGTTGTTGAATTGGTATTGTCATGCACTTCATGTTTATGGTCTCACATGGTGTTCATACTCCCATATAGTTATTCGTCATATGTTTGCTGGAAACTAGTTTAAGCCTTTTAGTATTAGAGGAGCCTCAGATCTAGTATCTCGGTGTAATTTCTAACTATAGTTTCAGTGATAAATGAGCTCTTCTTGTTGGTGCGAACCTCTTTAAAACGAAACAGCGATTTCCATCTATTTATTGGGTTGGTTTTTGTTGGTTTGATTTATAATCCACCTTTTTATGCTACCTTTTGCACGTAAACCTAGTTTGGTAGATTGAATCTTGTCATTTGATATAAAAGCTACAGCTGTGGACAATTTCAGACATTCCTTTGGATTGATTATCTCGGTGTTTTGCAAATAATAAAGATACAGACTCTTGTTTTGTGCTTCAAACTTTCTTTCCTTACACGTTTCACTGTCTATATACCATTATGCAATTTCAATCTCTTTTCTCTATCTGGATGATTGTTCTTTTATTTCTGATGAAAACAAATAACCGACTGTATTTGATTTATGATGTTGCAGATGTGCCATAAACATGGAGTCATGCATCGCGATCTCAAACCTGAGAATTTTCTGTTTGCAAATAAGAAGGAAACTGCGCCATTGAAGGCAATTGATTTTGGGTTGTCGGTCCTCTTTAAACCTGGTATTGCATATCAACTACTTCATTAGTTATCGATTAGATGAATTTCACAAGTCTTCTCTCCTTCCATCTTTGATGGAAATTGATTTTTGAGTGCTTTTTTGTCTTCTTTTTTATAAATATGCTCAAGAGTCAGGCCGCTCAAGTTTGCCTCAAGAATGTTCTTTGTTAACAGGTGAACGATTCAATGAGATCGTAGGAAGCCCATATTACATGGCACCAGAGATTCTTAAACGAAATTATGGCCCAGAGGTCGATGTTTGGAGTGCTGGAGTTATCCTCTATATTTTACTTTGTGGTGTGCCTCCATTCTGGGCAGGTTGGTCTTTAAATTTTCTACAAGTTCTCTTTTTTATCATTTGACTTCATGAAGGTTACATCTCAAGATAAATGTGAAGCCAGTGTGTGCTTCCAGAGATTGGAAAAGATAAAGAGACACTGAGCACGAGCAGAAAAATAAATATAAGAACATTGCTGGTGTATCTTTTTGCATACATTTTCTCTACCTACTCCCATGCCGTCAGAAAAATATATATAAAAAACATTTGTGTTTGCATGCAGAGACTGAGCAGGGGGTAGCACAGGCAATTATTCGCTCTGTTATCGACTTTAAGAGGGACCCATGGCCTAAGGTTTCGGACAATGCAAAGGACCTTGTAAAGAAAATGCTTAATCCTGATCCAAAGCTACGTCTTACAGCACAAGGAGTGCTTGGTAACCTTCTGTACATCTTACATACTTTATGTATGTTGATATATATTTTCCATGTATGAAAACTCATGCAAACTACCATAAGCAGAACATCCATGGATACAAAATGCCAAAAAAGCACCCAATGTTTCATTGGGTGAAACTGTGAAAGCTCGGCTCAAGCAATTTTCTGTAATGAACAAGCTGAAGAAGAGAGCTCTAAGGGTAATGATTTGCATAACTCTTGTAGTTTATCTACTGTTAAGTTAAAGGATGCAAATTTTTGGGGTCTACCTATTAACCTGCTCAATATTGGCTACGTACACTTACAATTTTTACTTTTAATGACTGGTACATTAAATTTTTCGATTTGCCAGGTGATTGCTGAGCATTTGTCGGTGGAGGAAGCAGCTGGCATAAAAGAGGCCTTTGATGTTATGGACACTGGAAAACGAGGCAAAATAAACCTTGAGGAGCTTCGGGCCGGGTTGCAAAAGCTTGGCCAACAGATTCCTGATGCAGATTTGCAAATCCTAGTGGAAGCTGTAAGATTATCTGACCCCCAAAATTTTGTTTCCAAATCCTCCTGATCTAAGAACTAAAAATATGACTAATGTAACCGATTTATGTGGTTTTCGAGTTGGAGGGTTATTGAAAGTAGGCTTCGTTATGCCCTACTGTTCTGCTTGATTCTTCTCCTTCTGGGAGATGCATCTTGCATGAATTCCATATTCTGCTTCTCCATTTCTTGCATAAACTCGGTTTACAGAATTTGACCTCCTATAATTAGTGTTTCATATTTAGAACTTTCAGTTTCATCAATGGAATAACTGCAACCTGCTGTTAACAGGCTGATGCTGATGGCGATGGTACTCTGAATTATGGGGAGTTTGTAGCAGTTTCAGTTCACCTTAGGAAAATGGCCAATGATGAGCACTTGCATAAAGCTTTTGCCTTCTTTGATTTAAATAGAAGTGGTTTCTTAGAGATAGAAGATCTGCAAGATTCCTTAAATGATGAAGTTGATACCAGTGAGGAAGTTATCGATGCCATTATGCACGATGTTGACACCGACAAGGTGATATTTTCTTGCTTGGTTATAGTGGATTCGATTTGAACTTGTCAAAGCTTTTTTCTCGACATTTTTGCCATGAAAATATCCATGCCAAGGGCTGACACATCATCTTATCGATGCTTATCATGCTTGTCTCTGTATTGCACCTGATCCATTGCTTTAAACCACCACTACAATATTTTCTTTTACGAACTTGGTTTCGAGTGTAGATATGGTTCAAAGCTTATTCTTTTATGTTGCAGGATGGGCGCATAAGTTACGAGGAGTTTGTTGCGATGATGAAAGCTGGCACCGATTGGAGGAAAGCATCGAGACAATATTCACGTGAAAGATTCAACAGTCTAAGCTTGAAGTTGATGAGAGATGGTTCATTGCAATCAGTCAATTGAGTACAAGTCAAATGTAGACGAATCAAAAAAAGTTAAAAAGTACCGTTACTACGAAAAAGAAGACGACAATCTCCTTTATTGTTTGGTTGATACTGCCAATTTCGTTCATTATTCCATTTTGTTTTTCGAGTGGAACCTTGGAGGTAGATTGATGTCCATGTGTTTTATTAGCCGAGTTGGGAATCTATGTGATGAATTAGTTAAAGAGGTTAGAGGGGAAATGTTAAAGTGATGTGATCCACAATTTTGTCTGTGGTTGTAAGTATGTCCATGTCCACAGTCTGTCCAACAGGTCTTTTTCGTTGAGAAAAGAAGAGTTTGTGGATACCATTATGTGCCGTCTGTTGAAAGATACAACTACTTTGTGCTTTTTTAGGTCATTTCCCGGATAACAGAAATCAGTATTGATTGTCCAGTGTTACTTGTATCTAAAGAAACATATAGCTTTCTGGTAACTGGTGGTGATAACATGTAGATGAGGTATTGGTATTCGTAAATTACAGAAGAAGAAAAAAAGACTAAACAGCTTAATTGAACCAGTCAATTTGAATATCTTAAAACATCATTGAAAACTTCCTTCATGTGTATAGCAGTCAGCCATTGAAGGTCTCCTGCACTTCTAGTAATTTCTGTATATTCTTTCAATTTTTTGTCTCAGACTTTGATCTTTTATTCCAAAAAAGAAAATAAAAAATCTTAAATCTCAAAGACTTTGATTTCAATATCTCATCTACTCGAAAGTGAAATCGAAATGTCAACTCCCAAAAGTCGATTTTGATTTCTGCAACGGCAAATTGAATAAAAAATCAAATTGTAGGACTTTAATCACTCATCAACCACGGAAATGGTTTTCTGACAACCATAATAAATAAATATTTATTTATCATTAAACCTTTTTTTTGGGTACACATTTATCATTAAACCTAGATATTAATCAATTATTTTATATATCATTGGATTATTATCCGACAGAGATGAAGCTAGGAGCTTGTCCCAAATATGATAAAAATATTATTTTTAATATTTTAAATTTAGATAATTTATATATATATACACACATTAATCTAGATTAAGTACAAGACAGTATATATTCAAAGATAACTTTCAACCATTTGACAATGAATATAAAGCTTAAATATAAATAGAATTTGGTATTATTCATGTTTGAACCTTACAAATAGAAAAAAAAATAGCATTTAAAACAGATTCGAGTTTGAATCTTACAGAAGCAGAATAGGATAATTGTTCATTTCTAGTTAAGTATTAAATTATTTATGTTTAAAGATTTAATAGAAATTAAACATGGTCGTAAAAAAATACAGATATAATTACTAAATACGAAATAACAATATATTTGTAAACAATTACAAAAATAATACAAATGAGTTAAAACAAATTTGAATTACTGCAATCTTCAACTTCAATACTCCCACGACAATTAATACAAGAGGTTATCTAAATTACGTTAGAAAAACATTAATAAATGGCTTCTTCAAATGCACATTTTTTAGCATCAATTGATGAACAGCGTATAAATCTCAGATTCAGAAATATTTTCAGGACGGGTACGTATGTATTGTATTAATAATATGAATTTTTTATATGAGCAGACACAAATAAAATTTTACGATAAGTCCAATTAATAAAATAAACAACAAACCTAAATAAAATTGAATTTTCACGCTTACCCTGAATAACACGTCACTATTATATATAATCATTCATTTTATGATTACTACCCCACCCCTTAAACTTAAGTTTCTTCACTATTTAAGTTGATCAAGTTACGGATAATTACCTGCTTTTTAATTTTATGGATGAAGTGAGAGAGGAGGATTCTCCGATAAAAAGATGCAAGTTTTCATACAAGCAAGTACATGAATCTCGCACGTTGAATATAGAGGAACATAAGGTTTCTCACTTGCGACAGATACTAGCAGTGGGCATTGTCACACAAACAGGAGCATACTTTTTCTTTGCTTCAGGTGTCCCACGTTTTGGCTCTTCACCCATGGCAACGTTTGCAAATGAGCAAGCGGCAGCTGCTGTAGCTGCAAAGATCAACTCCCTCCTCCCATTGCTGCTCTCTCGTTTCATTTCCAAGTCGACCTTCTCGCTTTGACCTGCGCTGGCTGCCTTGGCCACGATCGCACCTCTGCGAGCACGTCTCCAAGGAAGTCTAGTCAAAGTGGAGTTTGAGCTTGGAAGTAGAGAGCCTGCCATGCTCATTGAAGCCATGTCTGTGCAATTAAGGGAAAACGGGTTTTGTTTGCGACTGAGATGCTTGATTTGGATTGTATTTGAGGAAATGGTATGAAAAAGGCCAAAGGGACTTGTTGGTTACCCCTCATCCATTTCCTTATCCAAAGAAATGATGGGGCAAATGGGTTATTGCCACGTGTAGGTTTATCTGCAAATTCGTTCTGTTATTTTTTTTTTTTTGGTTCTTGTGATTGTCAAAACCGCCTTTATCGAGTGCTAAATTTCTCTAGATAGTTCACAGCTATTTTTTAGAAGAAATTTGACATTAGCTTGGAAATATTACAACACTATAGAACTTTGATCAAACTCCAAGTGCCAAAAAGAAAGGGGACATTGATAGAGCACTCTGTTAAATCACTTAATTGAGGATCTGAAAATGCTTTCAATGAATACTAGCACAAAAAGCAGTTGAAATGTAGATAGGCAGCTACTGCATGCCTCAAACTCACAGGAATGTTATCCTTTTCTTTAATTTTTGCTTGCACTAAAATCGGCAAATGCTACTTTTTTATTTATTGAATCCCAAAATACGCATCAAGGAACAAGCAGGGCACTAAGAAGAGAAGAACTCATAATATCAACCATAAGCTTTGAAGAATAAAATCCGTATTGATTCAAAACAAAACTTCAAGTTGCTGAAAAAGTGCAAAATATCTTATGACAGCCAAATAAGTAAACAAAGGCATTGCCTGCCTTAACAGGCAAAAACAACTTGCATTGCTACCCTACGGAGCTCAACATCATCAGGCATCCAACACCCTCTCTGCATCTTCAAGTACAAGAGTCTTCACCGGCTTTCCCAATAGATCAGTATACTCCTGGAAAGGAGACCTTGTGAAACGAGTCTCTTTCCAAAAATCAGGAGTCAAGAAACCGTATGTTTTCAAAAGACACTCAAAGGTAGCCTGCAATTTAGATTTCCAAAAATAAAAAGTAATCAGGTATCCAAAATAACTCATCAAGGCATCTTTGAAACAGATCATTCCACAAATACGAAGGCTATTTAGAACAAAAGCATATAATGTTGTGATAATTAAATAAAAATACCTTCAAGAATCAGATAGGTTGGAACATATAATAATTACAATTTACAAACATATAGCCCAAAAACCACATACTTCCACCAAAAAATATTTGATTTCAAATAGTATGGAAGAAACCGACATCAATTATAGAAGTGCTGCATCAACAATTGAGTACAAAAATCTACAACCACAAAAACGTGTAGGGCAATACACGTCACAAAACAATATATCATAAGAACAGTATCACAGTAAAATAACTTGCACTTATTAACAGCGCATTTGAAAACTAACTGCTCCATTATCGGATTCCAAACCATGAGCCAAGCACAAAAAATAAAATAACTTCAACACATTTCAACTCAAATAATGGATAGGGTGTATAAATCAATGAGATTTGTACGTATTCAACTAATATCGCGTATGGACCCTATGTAGATGTTGCATGTCCTTTATGTAAAAAGGAGTTTCAGCTATTGTAGATGTTGCATGTCCTTTATGTAAAAAGGAGGTTGAATCTTCCTCACATTTATTTTTTACTTGCTTTGTGGTGTGGACCCTATGGAAAAAAATTTTGAAATTTTGGGGAGTTTGTTCGGTTTTACAGGTCAATGCTCAAAGTTTTATGTTAGCTTGGGAAGATATGGTGCCTAATTCTAAAATATGGTCCTTTATTCCGGGAGTGGTTCTATGGACTATTTGGAAATTTAGGAATGACATTGTGTTTGATGGGGGAAGGTTAGATCAGATTGATCTATTTTTTATGGCAAGATGTAGGCTGGCTACTTGGTTCTTAGCTAACTTCAAGGATGTGTCTATTGTAAAGGACTCTCTCTCATTAGTGATCCATCTCTTGGTGATTGTTGCTCACATTCAAGGTTTCCAATCATCAAAAATGTGTCTTGGTCTCCTCCAAAGGGCTTTATAAAACTGAATGTGGATGCAGCAGTGAATGGAGATTGGAGGGAGGATGGCTCAGTGATGGGTTCTTTCCAAGAGGCTGCTGGTCCAGGTCCTCCTCAGTTGATAGAGCTTATGGCAATTAAGAAGGGCTTAACTTTCTTTGCTTCGATTCATCAGCGGTTTAAGGAACGTTTAATTGTTGAAACTGACAGTAAACTAGCAGTGGATTGGGTCAAGAATTATGATCGTTGTCCCTATGTCTACATAGACTTAGTGAAAGACATTGTTACTATGTTAAGAGATTTGAATGGTATTATTAGATGGGTTGCTAGGTCAGCCAATGTTGAGGTTGATAGCTTAGCTAAGGCTGGTATTAGCTAGTTTCACTGATTTATTCTGTCACAATGTTAACACCATCAAAGATTCAATTACAATCACACCATAAGTTCAAGATAACAATACTTTTTTTTCAACATAATATGATGGGTCAGTATAAAGATGTAAGAAAAAAAAAACAGAAACCCATAAAACATCAGACAACTCATAAATAATGAATATCCCAAATGAAGTGAGACAATCAATTATATGTTGAATAGTAAACAATTTATATAGAATTAATCCAGCATCATACATACACATTCCAACTCTGAGATAGCTCATCAAAGACCAGGCAAAGAATCCCAATACTTTAAACACTCATATCAGTGATTAGCATAGAAAAGTAAAAAAAAAAAATGAAAAATTAGCTCATACAATTAAACGTTAAAGCCCATTTCCAAATAAATACAAACAAAATCGAAATCAATACTATATAACAACAATAGCCAACATTTTTCGTAAAAATATATTACTAAAAATGAAAAAAAAAAAGACAATACCTTTACAAAGTTACCAAGAGTCTTAGTAGAACCACGGGAAGAAGTGAAAACATCTTCAATCCCAGCAAACTGAAGCACCTTCTTGGGCACCCTAGCAGCCACGATCCCAGCACCTCTCGGCGCAGGCACCATCCTAACAGTAACAGACCCACATTTCCCAGTAACTTTGCACGGCACAGTGTGAGGTTTCCCGATCTTATTCCCCCAATAACCTCTCCTCACCGGTATCACAGACAATTTCGCCAATATGATCGCCCCTCTTATAGCCGTTGCAACTTCTTTGCTACATTTCACTCCCAACCCGACGTGTCCATTTCCATCGCCAACGACGACAAAGGCCTTGAACCGGGTACGCTGCCCGGCACGGGTTTGTTTCTGGACTGGAGTGATCTTCATGACTTCGTCTTTCAATGAAGGGCCAACGAGCTGGTCGATGATTTGGTACTCCTTTATGGGGAGAGAGTGGAGGTAGATTTGCTCAAGGGACGTGATTTTACCGGCTTTGACCAAACGTCCGAGCTTTGTAACGGGCACCCATTTCTCTTCTTCATCTCTGCGGCCTCGACGCCTTCCTCTTGGACCACGGTCGGATCTGCCACCGAAGCCACGCCTGAAAGCTCCACGCTCACCTCCGCCTCTTTCTGCCATTTCTGTTTTTTGTATTGAATGTGTTTACAAGAACGAGGGTTTTGTATAGAGAAATCCGATTGCAGCGCGAAATAAGAGCGGCGACACTGAAGACTTTATATCTAACAAGAGCCGGAATCTAGGGTTTTGACATTCATATGTCTGGCCCAGTGTGAAGTGGTTTTCTTCTTTTATTTTTAGGTTCGACTCGGCCTTTTGATTTTTTGATCTTGGGCTTCAAATACCAAAAGATAAAAGAAAAAATTTAATGTTGTTATGATGCAACCTTCTTTTACGGCCCAATTACTTTTGGATTAGGAATATTTTTTAAAACCCTTTTGATATACGGTTTCTTGATCGAGTATTTCGAATAAAATTATGTAGAGGCTTGTTATAGGAATATTCACAACTCAATTTTAGAATTAAAACTTTTAGTCTTTGTTTAAGATACCTATAACTCATTGAGTGACTTAAATGATAAAAGAGAATGTTATTTTCCCTAAAGAATCCGAGTTCAAACAGTTATGTATGCCAGATATGTGTATTATCAATGACTAAAAAAACTTCTGAACATATATTATCTTATCATCACTCTATACTAAGTTTTTATACTTTTAAGATTGCATTGATACTTGTGAACTTTAATATAAGTTATCTCCAATCAATTAATATATTAGAAAAAAACAGTGAAATTTTTAAGGTATGTAATATGTATCACCTTCAACTTAGGATCCTTCCAAAGCTTTTAGTGAATTGGAAACAAGTAAAGATGCTATTAACTTTAACCCTATAATTTCAATTCACAATTCATAAAAAAGTTTATAAATTAACATATTATTAAAAAAAATAACGAATTTTTGTTAGTCAGGAGTCAAATTTACATAAACAAATAAAATACCCCTAAAATAAACAAAAGTTAAGAACAAAATAGAAAAGGTAAAAATATATTATTATTTACTCGTCTTTATCAAATCTTGAAATATTGCCTATGGTACCACAAGTCAATCGTTTTATTAAAAACAAAATAATTTATTATTTGTTTTAACGCGTGATATCATTATATGATTTTATGTATTAAGCTGTGACTACTACTTATTTAATACAGTAGAAAGACATATCACTGAAATAGATGGAATGAAACTGTAAGTATCAAAAAAGATATTTTTGAGTTATAGATACATTAAAAGGTTTACTATAATTCAGGGATCATTCATGCAACTATCCTTAAGTTTTGATATACGAAAGCATATAAACAACTAACTAGATATAACGTCGAATACATTATCATGAACACATTTATTGTTTTGAATTAATGAGTAACATTTAAAAATGAAATTCCTTTAACGGCACGTACTTCTTTTCCTTTCGGTTCGGCAAGATTTTATTTTAATTAGTTCAAATCAACTCATGTTATACACTGAATTTTAATAAGTCTTCTAATGAAGAATATTTAAGTACATAAAATATTAAATTCAAAATCTATTTAAATAATATTTTAACATACTCATGCGTGCGTATACTTTATTTAATTGTGTGGTGACTGAAGTAAATGACATTTGGTCACTGTCAAAAGTGAAAATGGACAGCGTGACTCAGTGAGTCAGTTCACAGCCAAATGAAATTCACAAATTGCCTTGTTTTGTGTGATCCGACCTGCCCGCCCCATTCCCCATTAATTAGTACTAATAACAAACCACAATTTGCCAAGAATTTCAAATTATTTCGGTTGCGAGACAAACGAAAAAGCCTTTGAGACCAATATTATCTTTTGTTGTCATATTTCGCCGAGTGGCCTCAAACTATATCTCATATTTCAAATTATTCTCAAAATTTTAAAATGATTTTAATTAAGTTCTTAAAGTATCGATATGAGATGTATCAAGTCCTTTCTTCCGTCTAGTCATCAACTTAGATATTAAATGTAACTTGATCTTGATATTAAACATATCTAAAATATTTAAATAAAAAATATTTTTCATGAAGGATTGAGATCAAACTCGAGATTTAATATCAATCATTATTGTATACTACACATTTGGTTGACACATGAAGAATAAATTCTAAATACATATCACATAAACAATTTATATTGGAGGGGTTATAAAAAATACATAATCTTCTAAAACTTTAATGAACTGTCTATTATTTTAACACATTACATACAAAAATTCCACGTAAGTACACACTCATTTAGCATATAACTAGGCTACCGGAAGATTTGATCGATTTGATATTAATACTTTAGAATCTCAATTAAAAACATTTAAGATCAATTGAAACTTAGATTATAGTTTAAGAGCTCCTCATGCAATTAAATTTTTTAACATAAATATGATATGATTTATTAAATCGGCCAAATTCCTAAATAAAAAAGATACTAGAATGTGATTGCATTAGGTCTATTTTAATACGTACTTATTGAACTGGATTCATGCCTATCAAATATAAAATATTAATTTTCTAACCAAATAAGATGATAAGTCTTGTAAACTAGTTTAAATTTTAATATTACGAATAAAATAAATTATATAAAAATGACTTATATAATACATTTTTATAATATTTAAATTATTTGATTAATAAATTAAATATAAATAATTGTATAATAATATAATATATTAATTTGTGTTATATTTTTTTACAATGTCCCAAATCACTAGCTTTATAAGGACTGATTTATTCTGTAAATTCTAATTTCTAACTCAAATGAAAGATATTTACATTTTGAATTGGGTGAAAAGGGTAAAAGTTAAAGTAGTATTTTATAAGCATGGTTAATTTATTGTGAATAGAAACTGCAAAGAATAATTGGAGTAGAGAGAAGACACTCACTCTGGCTACAATATTAAAGGCCAAATCTGTCCTTTACTGCCTCTACACATATTTTAAATATCCATTATCATTTTGTACTTTAAATTTTATCCTCATTGTATATTTAATGGTTTACAACAAATTTTAAGGAAAACTGAAATTTTGGAGGAGTTAATAAATTAAGATCATACTGATAAAATATGTAATTAATGGGGACAAAAATGTTAATTTGAAACGACACTTAGGAATGAGGAAATTTTAATGATTTTAACTTTATTTTTTATATTCACTTTAATTTGAAAGGTTAATTTTAAATGTTTTTATTATGTACCCAAAAAATAAAGAAAATTTTAAATTAGCTTTAAACGATTGAGAATTTCGCTTTTCAATCTGAACGAGATAATGCTTACTTTAAACTGCAATTTATTCTTCGAAATCTAATTGTTATATTCTATAATATAAATAAAAACAGCTTTAACGGCACGGACCTTATTTACTTGTTAATCATTTACACACGCAGACTATTATTGGGTGAGTGAGAGGACAATATGAGTCAGCTGAACTCAGTTCACGCAAAAATGAAATCAACTCACTGTCTTCCTTGTTTTGTGTGAGCTGACTTTGGTTTTACATTATTGTACCCAGTTGCATGTACAATTTTTTCTACAATTTGAAATTTAAAACAAGGATTAAAATTATATTTTTATTTATTTTAGATATTAAATTATGTATCTAACCTTTATTTCATTACTATTTAAGATGTTTAGCGTAACATCACTTAAAAAAGTCATTCGATTAATGTTTGTCATGAAGTATGTTTTTTTATTTCTTTTATTTTTCTAAAAAAAATCTAAATTTAGATATAATTATTAGGAGATAATTAGACTATTTTCTCAATTCGGATAAAGTTGAATTAAATTTTTTACCTTAAATTCGAATCTAACCTAATATGATCTCATCCTTCAGAAAAATAATAAACTTTTAAAAAAATTACCGAAACAAGTTAAAAAAAACAATACAACATAAATGTTAGATCTACTCATTGTCAACAAATTAAACTATAACAATTCATGCAATAACGAATAGTAACGGCAAATTGGTTCCAAAAATTAGAATAGATAGCCCAACTACAATTTTCTGATGCATGAATTCATGGTACGCCACAATATTAATTTTGCTTAATTAACAAATAGTAGTGGTTAGCTACTTGCTTAGGTAAATAAGTAGAGTTTATGTACTATAATAAGAAGGATTAATTTGAAAATTTGATTTTACCCAAAAATAGGAAATAAATATACCCAGTACTCAACAGATAATGAACAAAATAATCCATACTAATCAGCTATTTGAGTGTACCCACCACGTTATAATTGGTATTAGATTTGTTTTTACTTAGGGTTTTTTCATTAAAAAAGAAAAAACGAAGAAATTAAAAACAACCCAATGGTCGAAAGAGAGACTCAGATTCCCATAAAAATAGAAAAGGAAAAGAAAATAAAGAACAAGGTTCGAGAAAATAAGTACCCAGAAAAACACCAACACCAAAAGAGGAAGCAATGAAACACAAACAGCATACACCTTTCATTTGAATAATTCCTGTTCCTTCCTCTTAACGAGGTTGCACGCCACCTCTTTATTTTTTTATTATTATTATTTTAAAAATGTTCATTGGACATACGATATTTGTATTTTTAATTGGTATTTGTTTTATGCGAGGTGTATTTATTTGGGTGTTGTGATTATGGATGATTACGGGTTAAGTTATTGGCTCATTCAAATCTGATTTGAAAATTAAAATTCTCTATTTATATTTAATTCGATTTAGTTTTGAAAGTTCACATTCAATTCGAAATTTTATCCCGTTTTAAGTCAAAGTTCACGTCAGACCTAAATATATATATAAATTTCATTTTTAATAGATAAAATGAAGACCTAATTTAAAAAATAAAATAGAAACGAGTATTATTATAATTATTACTATATATATAATAGATAATTATAATATTATGTTAGATAAAAAAATCACCATAAATATAAATTTGACTCAACACGATCTGACTTTTTTTTATAGAAAAAACTCAACCTGATTTGATTGAAACATGAATTTTGAAAATGAAAAACTAAATTAAATCCCATCAAAACTCATTAAATTCGGATGAAACGATGCTTCCTAATTGTGATTTATAAAACAATGTGGGACTTATAGGGCTCAAGCAAGGCAATTCATAATTGTGTTAGGTCGGGTTATACAAAATAAAAAGTGTAAAACAATATTTATTTTATGAGAGTGTATTTCTATATAATGTAATATGTGATCCAATTTATAAAGATATATATAAATTTATTGAGTGGTGGCAATGTTAAAGAATATTATATTTTCAAAAAGTTTTGAGTTCAATTAATTATATATAGATAACGTGTGTTATTAATAAGTTAAAGAAATATATTATTATATTGGATCTAGACATAAAAATTAAGAATAAATACTAGTTAAACGATATTTATTTTTTGTACTCATATGTGAGATCAAATCTATTAAGATACATATGGAAATGATAAAATTTTACAAAACGTATTGAAACTCAAAAATATAATTTTAAATTATATTCTCGTGATATGACCCGAATTTCATCACAAATTAGATTCTGATTAAATTGTTACCATCTCCATTTGATTTGTCTTGGGTTTAGGTTATTTATTTTTGTTTGTTTCCAAAATTCCATGTCATTATTACTATGAACTAATACAAGCTTAACACATACTATAGTCATTTAACCTGTAAACTTACCGTTGCAATTTAAATTTTCAAAATGCTAATGTATTTTATTTCAGTTGGTTTGCTTAATGTACCACAGTAATAACATAACCCCACCTGTTTTATAATCAGTTATTTCTCACTGTGCTTTGGGTTTCCCTGCAAAATATTTTTCTTCTTTTATCAAATTCCTTAAAAAATATCATTTGAAATACCCAAAGGTACAAAAAATTCACAGTGGGGCTTTATGCTTAGCTTCCATATCCACACGGTACTGTCATTTTATCTGATGTGAAACCAGACCCCCAAAAAAGGACAAAACAACCTCTGTGTTTATTCATTCATTTTTGTTTCAGACAAACATAAAGAAGAACAGTTTGCAAATGTTAACAGAACTCTCACTGTCTCTAACTAAAACCGAGTACCCAATCATAGAAAATCTCTTAAATTTTCAAAATATCTCCTCTCAAGAAAAATAATGTGTTAGTAATGCAGTGAAGGTGAAGCCACCACTTATAGTATAACAGAGGGAGCACAGCTTTTTCAAAACCAAGCCAAGATTGAGTTTTTTTTTTCCTTCCTTTTTTTTGCATGGAGAAGATATCAACGGGAAAAACTATAACAAGGAGAGCGAAATGGAAATACCCACCGGCGCAGCCAACTCCGAGAATCATCCATTTTCCACCCCGGCCTCGAAGGAAACCACTCAAGGCGAGTCCTTCGAAACCACCTGGTTCGCAGAAGGAGAGAAAAGGGATGATGTTGGAGAGTTTGTTTGATCAAGAAAGGTCTTTTACGAGAGGGGCTGTTCCGGTGAGTCCGAGGGAGAGTGACGACGAGAGGAGAAGAGGGAGAGTGGCGGACGAGGAGAAGCGAGAAAATAGCAGCAGCGTAGCCTTTGTTGAAGAAGAGAAATGGAGGTTCCAAGCTGAGATGTTGAGAGCCGAGTGTAACTTGTTGAGGATGGAAAGAAAGATCGCCGTTAAGAAAACCGAGAGAAGGAGAGTTCACATGGAGAGGACTTTGAAATACGCTGCTCAAATTCTACTTTCCGTCGGTTTCTTGTTCTCCCTTCTTTTTCTTTGATTACTGTCTGTTTGGTTCTCGAGAAAATATCACCCAGGTTTTAGTTGACAGAATGTGGGATGCAGGCATTTATTTATTTATAGTATTTTCCCAGTTTACATCTGTATTAAATTTTTTTTATAGACCAGATACTTATTTATTGTTTATTGTTTGATACTGTGTGCTTTCCGCTTGTCTTGATTTGCTTAATAATGGCCTTTTGACTTTGGTTTGTACAGGGAAGAAAGAACATTTGTGAAGGAAAGGACGTAAACGTGGTATTATTGGAGCAGCAGATCAATGGATTAATGGAGAAAATAGAGAAACTGCAGAAGAGATCAGGTGTTAAAGACTTGGAGGTGGAAAAATGCAGTAACTTTGATCAAAAAGTTTCTTCTCTCCAGAGGCAGATTGAGAAGTTCGGATTTAAAGGAACATCTGATGAAGAAATACGCGTGAAAGAGATTCGAGATATGACCGACGCGAGCTTGTCGATCGGAATCAGCAGCGAAGGGGATGATCATAACCGCAACGTGAGAAACGATTGTCTTCTTTCTTGTTGATTTTGGTTTGGGAATTGATTGCTGAACTGGACACTGTTTTTGCAGGAGAAAATGCCCCACCAGACTAGTGTGTGTTCAGGGCAATGCAAGGCCATTGTGCATAGGATTGTAGAGCAAATTCGTGCCGAGACAGAACAATGGTCCCAGATGCAGGACATGCTGAGGCTGGTAAGGGACGAGATGGATGAATTGCATGCCTCTCGCGATTTCTGGGAAGATCGAGCATTCGATTCCAACTATCGGATTCAATCCCTGCAATCTGCTGTAAGATTTTCATAAGCTACTTAAGAACTACAAAACAATCATACTTCACTTGTACTTGCTTAACATGTTTGTTGTGCTTTTCATTAGGTGAAAGAATGGAGGCAGAGAGCTCTCTCATCCGAAGCAAAGGCGAACGAGTTACAGGCACAAATATATGTCCTTCGTCAAGAGGTCGAGAGATTGATACGGGAAAGAGATAGAAAAGTAGTAAGGGCTCGAATTACTTCACCGATCTATAAAGAAAAACAAAATGAAACAGAGAAGTGGGTACTCGTGTGTCGCTTAAAGGAAGACGAAAGACGAAAACCCCAAACATGCACAGCCGGACTTCTCCCAATCAGACGTTCACCCCTCAGAGAAATCGGTAACAATGCAACCTTGAAGAAACAGCAGCAGCAGCAACCCCTGCAGCATGGTGAAACAATCTTGCCATTGTTTAGCCTTCATAAAGAGGAAATGAAACGCTCATTGTAGACGAACTGAATCAAGATCTATGATCCTATATATCAAACAGTTGGTTCACAATTATGTAACGCTCACAGTTTGTGAGTCGAACATTGATCGTGCGCCCGGTTTCGGAGTTTTTAATTATCCATTTGCCTCGGACGGGATCCATTTCTTTGTAGGAAAAGAAAGATATCAAAGTAATGGAACATTTACTGATTTGATGAAACCTACTGCAATTGTTTACTCCAGCCTTTATAATCTAGATTAGCCTGTCTATCAGATTAAAGGCTAAAAAATCTTAATTATGACAATAATTACTCTGAAACTGTTAAAACTAAAAGCTCATATAATAAACAATATGCTTCCAATAAAACAAATTGATAAACAGGTGTCTCATAATGCCAGGATTTCCATGTACATCCAAAATCAGGGAGTAATAACACAATTGAAATGAACTATGGTAAAAAAATCTACAAATATCCATCCGTTCCTCAATTAAATAAAAGCTTGATTGTGTTATAATCGTTGGGGAACAGTTTACACAAGTAAATGCTCATCAAAATTGCTTTAAATTTCATTGTAAAACGGTTTTCTTTGACTAATTTCTTCTTGAAGACTAGCTGAAATACGATTCTTGATAAATGCCAAATCTTGGTTTTAATTCTACTATAAGTATCCCCATACATCCATCTTTGATTTTGTATCTTCTTCAACAATGATGAACAACAGTTCTATCCAGGGTCGCCGGAAGATCGAAATGAAGAAGATAACAAAGAAAAATAATCTTCAAGTAACCTTCTCCAAACGTCGTTCCGGTCTTTTTAAAAAGGCTAGTGAACTTTGCACACTTTGCGGGGTCGATGCTGCGATCGTAGTCTTTTCCCCTGCTGGCAAGGTCTTCTCTTTTGGCCATCCTCACGTTGAGTCCACCATCGATCGGTTTCTCAGTCGAAGCCCTTCGGTTCACAACGTAAATGCGTCTTACAATGTCGTCGAAGCTCATCGAGATGCTAACATCCGTGAGCTTAATGCACATCTAGGTCAACTTGTTGACATTTTGGAAATTGAAAAAAGGAAGGGACAAGCACTCGACGAAGTAAGGAAGGCGGGTCGAAGGCAATGGTGGTGGCAAGCTCCGATTGATGAACTCGGATTGAGTGAGCTTCAATTGTTGAGAAATGCACTCCAGGAGCTGAAGAGGAGTGTGGAGAAACAAGCCGATTTGCTGCAGGCTGCGGTTGAGTCGAGCAATTGCTGGCAATTTTTGGCCCCAAATGGTGTGGGAACTAGCGGTTCGGGAAGTGAAGGAAATGAAATGCATACTTCTTCTGGTATTACTCCATTGCAGAAATTTGATCAGAACCTATATCTTGTTTTTTAAGGAATTTATGTTGGAATAAAAACAATTACAATGAGAAAGAACAAAGGGATACGATGTGAGAAGGGAAAATAAATACTTTTGTTCTGTTTTGGTTTAAATACATTCTGGTTTAAGGATTTACATACATTTTCGGTTATTGATTCAATTATATATTTTTTTTAAAATTTTCTCATTCTTATACATTGTATTTCAATTGTTAATTTAATTATATTTTCTAACCATTCTAATTTTTATATATTTAGTATGTATTACTAAAAACTACTAATATAAAATTTTCATTTAATCCTACCTAATAATACACAAATTTATTATAAAGACGCTCATTTTAATCTAGTTTATTTTGTTTACAATATTATGATTCAAATCTTATTTAGAAGATTTTATGTTTCGTATAGCGAAACAAATGGGTAATTGACATTACTTGTAATTATTATTGGGATAAACTACATTAGAAACAATTTAACTTTCACGATTGTATTAATTTTACCATTGAAATCACTCAGTAGTAAAAGAGAATGTTATTCTTTCTAGATGATTCGAATTCAAAAATTTGTATTTACAGAGTGTGTTAGCAATTAATTAAAAAAATTAAACAAATACTGCATTGTAAACACCCCATACTATTAAAAAATCACCATTAATTTTGATGCTATGCGGCAACTAGTAAAAAATAACCAACAATATCATTATTAAACACCAACACCGAATACCAATCAACAACATCAACGACTATGACTATATTCGCGAAAAAATCCTTGAAAGGGAGAACAAGAAGTGAACAAATTGCACAAATATATTCATGAAGATTTTGAGTAGGTCAAAGTTTAAGAAATTCACAAAAGCATTCAAAATGAAATGATATATCCTTTATGAGATATATCTTAAGAATATTCTAGAACAATATGAAATGATATATGTCTAGGAATATCATAAAATAATATAAATATTTATAATATTTTATATTATATCTAAAATTATCTATAAGAAGAAACTAGATATTTGTAAAGTTAATATAGCTAAGATGTTGACATGTATCAATAATCTAATAGCTACTAAAATTTATAAATAGGTGTGAGAGTTATCATTTTTATACAAGCCTAAAGATTGCAAAAAGTATTAGTTAAAGAAATGAAGCCTTTAAAATGTGATCGACTCAACCGTTTGAATGATATACGATTAGTTTTACCGTCTGAATAATATATGATCAATTTTGTTACTTGAATGATCTATGATGACTTTGTTATCAAATATTATTATACACTAAATAATTATAAAATAAAATGTTTACCAACATCAAAGATTTAACATAGAATTAATAATAAATCCTAGGTCATCTATATTGTTGTGGTGAAATGTACAAATTTTCAATGATGTAAATAAAGATTCTAAATAAAACCAAACACTCTGTTTGAGTAATAAATATAATATAATTTATTTTTTAAAAGATAAATATTTGATTTGTTTGTTTTAGTTTGTTAGATGATAAATATATAATTTGATTTGTTTGTTTTAATTTATCTCTAAATATTTTTTAAAAATATATTATTATCATATAAAAATAATTTAAAAAACATTTTTAAAAAATATATATTTCTAAAAATCTTTAATTACAGTTGTTATATGAAATTAAGATATTTGTGTTGAAAGATAAACTTTCAATAAACTTTTAATAGCTGAATAATTAAATAAATCTATTTCGATTAACTTGTATTAAAAGAATTTATTCAAAATTATTTTACTTTGAATCAAACGAATATACTATCCCTAATTTTCATGCATTAATTATAAGATTGCAATTTAAATGTTTTAAATACAAACAAGAAAAAAAATGAAAAAACATTTACTCTACCAACAATTGAATTTAATCATACAAGTGGACGAAGATGAAAATGTAAGGAACACTTTTGCATGATACTAAAGACTATACTTTTATGTGTCAGTTTCAGTCGTCGATGTAATTTAATTTAAGTCATTGAATTTAGATAAACTCAAATATAAATAGATGTCTCTTCTCCTCATTTATAATCACTTCAATCGTTTTATCTATTAAAGTAATACAACTCAACATTTATTATATTTCTCCTTTGTCGCTTTGTTTTTTAATTTTTCAATTTCTTTGTGCTTTGTTATATCGTGTATGAGCTTTTGGTGGTTTGTGAACTTTAAATAATTTGATTTTAATGTCTAATTTAATTAGATAATGTTCTATGATAAATAAGATAAATAATCACGTTACCCTTATGACACTTGAGAAATAAACTTTGTTTCAATTTTATCCCCTAACTACAACTCTTGTTCTAAAATGATCTTTAAATTATAGAACATTTTAAGTTCATCCTAAACTATATATATGACAATCACATCCCATGTTAATCGTTAGACCAAACTATATTATTATATATTTGAAATAAATTAAAATTTAGGTTAAAAGATGGTTGAAACTAATAACATATTTGGGATGAAATTGGAAGATTTAAAATTTTGAAGACTAATTTAGAGTGAGGGATAATTTAAAGATATAATTAGAATATTCAAATGCTTAATAACTAAATTAAAAAGAGAGATATAATTTGAAGATAAAATTGAACTGTTTAAAAAATTTGACTAATTTAAAATTAAAAAAAGTGATGCAATTAATATTTATTTACTTACTATATATATCAAACAATAATTCTTTTTTTTATTGTCTCATTTATTTTATATAAGAAATAAATAAAATGATTTCAGACATTGTGATTGAAGCATAAATGGAATGTTTGGAAAAGGTTTGAACAGAAAAAGGAGAAAGTGATGGTTTTCATTGAAGGATAAGATATGAAGATATCCACATATATTGCCTTTCAATTTCAAGCATGTTTTCCCCCTTTGTTATTAGGGTTCTAATGCATTGCAAAATAAAACTCCACTCCTATTCCAAGCTTTGATGTGTCCCTCTTTGCCTCTATACAAATACAATGGACAACCAAAAACACACTTTCCATTCCCATCATTATCTCCACTCACTATTTCTTAAGTACTCCACTTTAATTTGTCCTACAAATTAGTATAATTTTGGTTAATGAAAAACCTTGACTTTTTTCCTTTTAATAAGGCTTTTCTTCCCAAGTTCTCAGCTTGCCTTTCCCTTGTTTTGGTAACCACGTGTTATATATAAAACCTCTACATTAATGCTCTATAGTTGAGAACCCCTACCTATTCATATGCTACATTTGGATTTGGATTGATTCGAGATGTGAAAATTTAAAATTTTAAAGAAATTACGAGAATACTTTAAAAGTGGGATCCTAGTGGGATGATTTGAATAGTGGAGCAGCACCTCAATTTCACATCAAACGCATGCTTTTTATTCTGTGAAGGTTTTGATAGTCATCGGACAATTCAATTATTTTGAAGATTTTTCTACCTTTACCTTTGTAACCACTTCTAAAGGTGGAAACAGCTCTGGTGGAGAAGAAGACATACTCTCATGGCTTCCCCTTCCTCACAACTCTTGTCTCTAAACCACCCAAAGTTCACTCTACATGCTACCTTCCGACCACCTCCCATAACAAAATACAACTCCGACCACAAAACCAAAAAATCTTTACCTCCAAAACGCCATCAAATGTTCAACAACATCCTTGTCAAGTTTAAGCACTCCTCGGGCAGAGGAAACTTTGGTCTTAAACGAAGACGACGAGAGGCCACTTTCCCAAATCTGGAAGGAAATTCAAGGCCTCCACGACTGGGATGGACTGCTTGACCCCATGAACTCCCATCTCCGCCGCGAGATCATCCGCTACGGCGAATTCGCTCAAGCCTGCTACGACTCTTTCGACTTCGATCCACACTCCAAGTACTGCGGTTCTTGCAAATACCAAGGATCCCGTTTCTTCGAAAAGCTCGGGATGGCCGACCGTGGCTACCAAATCAGTCGATACCTCTACGCCACATCGGACATCAACCTCCCCAACTTCTTCCAGAAATCAAAACTGAGCAGCGTGTGGAGCACGCACGCTAACTGGATGGGATACGTGGCTGTATGCACCGACGAAGACCAAGTCAAACGGTTGGGGCGACGAGATGTCGTCGTTTCCTGGAGAGGAACAGTCACGTATCTCGAATGGATTTATGATCTCAAAGACATTCTTCATTCCCCGAATTTCACCGACGACCCTTCCATTAAAATGGAGTTAGGGTTTTATGACTTGTACACCAAGAAAGAATCAAATTGTAACTATTGCTCGTTCTCGGCTCGTGAACAAGTGTTAGCTGAGATTAAAAGGCTTGTCGAGTACTACGATGGGGAAGAACTTAGTATTACAATTACAGGGCACAGTCTCGGGGGCAGCTTTGGCTATAATAACAGCTTATGATATTGCAGAATTAGGGCTTAATCTTGTTAACGATGGAGAGAATACCGATAAAATACCGATCACGGTGTACTCTTTTGCAGGCCCTCGAGTGGGAAATCTTAAGTTTAAGGAAAGGTGTGAAGAGCTAGGAGTTAAGGTACTTAGAGTGATAAATGTACACGATAAAGTACCGACGGTGCCGGGGATTTTCGCCAACGAAAAGCTTCAGTTCCAAAAGTATTTAGAAGAGACTATTTCTTTTCCATGGAGTTACGCACATGTCGGCGTTGAACTTGCACTGGATCACTCCCACAGCCCGTTTCTGAAGCCGACTAATGATCCCGGCTGCGCGCATAATCTCGAGGCTCATTTGCACTTGCTCGACGGCTACCACGGAAAAGGGCGACGGTTCTGCTTGGCTAATAAGAGGGACATTGCGCTTGTTAACAAGGACTGCAACTTCTTGAAGAGGGAGTATGGGGTGCCACCGCACTGGCGGCAGGACGAGAACAAAGGGATGGTAAGGAACAGCGACGGGCGTTGGGTTTTGCCGGAGCGGCCGAGAGTGGAGGCTCATCCATATGACATCTCTCACCACCTTCAGAAAGTACTAAAGATTGCTTCGGGTTCTTCTCAACTCAAAGGAGCACAATAATTATATACCTAATTATGTTTTTCATTCTCAATTATGAATTATGGAAAAATTTTCTCATTTCCTTTTTCTAAGTTATATACACTGCCAGTAAAATAAAAATATCAATATATAATATTATTTTAAAGATAACAGTTCTAATTAATCAATTTTCTTCGTATTCTATATATTTTTTTAAATTAACTTTATATGATTTCTAAATTTAGACTGATACATGTGTTCTTCACTTTACTTATATTTTATATTTTTCAAATTTAATTTTATATGATTTTTTTTAAATTTAGAGTGATACATGTGTCCTTCCCTTTACTTGTATTTTATATTTTCCAAATTTAATTTTATATATTTTTAAATTTAGAATGTGGTACATATGAAACATGTCAATTGATATCAATGATTAAAGAGAGTGTTTTTATCTCTATAAATTCTGAGTTGAGTGGCTACATATGCAAAATGTACGTGTGTCATCAATAATATAAAGAAAGTCTAAACAAAGTACTATTTTGTAATCTATTTGGGGGGGGGGGAGAACGTGGTACATATGCTATTAATCTTGTGAGGAAATTTTTAGAAAATGGTTCTTTGATTTTATTAATCAAAGGTAAGTACAAAATAATATATGTTTAAAGATAACTTTCAACTATTTAATATTGGACACTCATATCCTTGACATTTTTTGTACTTGAATCCAAAACCTTAAGAATTAACAACAACACCTTTACCACCAAAGCCACTTGATTCGTACTAAAAATGATATTTTTTAAACGAATTCGATGATCACTCAAGAATTACGTAATTTACATTACATACCTTGGTATTTTTATTCATTCTAATTTTACATTATCTTATTTTGGGTAAACTATATGTATAATACTTAAATTTTCATTTTGTTTTAATCGCCTAATTATTATTATTTTTTAAAAACCATATTTCATGTTACATTTTGGTTTATTTTGATCACTTGTTGTTAGAAAATCAACATATCTACTGACATGACATTACCTTACGGTGATACATCAATATCACTGTTAATTTTTTAATGTGTGACCAAAATGAAACTAAAACTTAACGTTAGGAATGATTTTGAAACAAAAAATAGTTAGATAACCAAAATAGAATAAATGTGATAATTGAGGTACTAAACATGTAGTTTGGCCTTTTATTTGTTAATTCCTTTTCAACACATCCCTGAAAAGGTCGTGGGTTGTGCGTCATGTTGGTTGATTAAAACGTAGGTTTTGTTGGTGGAAATATCATGATTGCATTTATTGATAATAAGAAATCAAATTTATGGGTGATTACAATTTACAATTGTTGAGGAAAGTAAGGCCTTCTTCATTATTTTATATTTTTTTGAAAGCTGGATTTCATTCATACGTTAATACTGTTAAAGATTACGTCATTTTTAATTCATTGAAAAAAAATAAGAATTAATTTTCAACAAGACGCATCGTGCAAAAATGTACACCGTCCGATTAATCTCGCGATTCATAAGGCCTTTTTCATTAAGTTGGTCAGTGAGGGGATGGTATGAATATGCGTAGGATGGTCATGGCGACTTGTATATATATATATATACATTTATTTAATTTTTCAATTATGTAAATAGTGAATATAAAATTTCAATTGAATTTTAAATATCTAACTGTTTGTAAAAATATAGATTAGCTAATTTTATTTTAAAAAATTGATGTTTAGAATAAATATTTCATAGATTATTCTGTTTCGGTTTGTTCCGTAATAAAATGGGTGAAAGGATTTTGTGGTGCACTAAGCCCACTTGTCTCAGATTCGTCAACATCTTACAAGCGTGTCTGTCCATGTAAAGCGAGTCCTTTCAGAGTTTATACAAACGCATGTGTAAAATTAAATTGGGTAAACTACTTAAATGGTCATTTAACTTTCATTTTTGTACACTTTTGCTCAAAAATTCAAAAAGTTAAGTTTTCGTCACTAATGTTATCGTTTTATTAAGTTTTGATCATTGAGTCGTTGAGTGTCGTTAGTTTGACGACGTTGCAAATTAGTAAAATGGTTTGATTTTCATTTTAACCCCTGAACTTTAAATAAAATACTAATTATGGATCTTTTGGTAAATCCAAAATAATTTAGGGACAAATTATCAATTTACTCATTTTTAAAACATTTTTCTTCACTTGTTTTTGTCGAAACCCTACCTTCCTCCCCCTTGCGCCGCACACTGTCTGATGAATTTCGTATGCACAATCGTGACTGGCGGATATTATTGCATCACCAAGCGTGACTCCTAATCTCACCCGCGCTCTTTCTGTTGCTCCATTTTCTCCAACGTCCATCTGCCAGTGCAAGAAAATATCCTTAATATCACAACCATTGAGACCCTAATTTAAGAACGATCGATAGTGCTCGACAAAACGCTCAGATCAGAACGTAATCCTCCATCGGTTTCAACAAAGATGATAACGCTTTCATTAAAACTAACTAGCATAAGGAGAACTTATACCGGGGAACTTAGCATAAGGAGAAGGGAGGAAGGAAGGTAGAGTTTGAGTAAATTGATGATTCATCCTAAACTATTTTAAGTTAATAAAAAATCCATAATTAATATTTTATATAAAGTTCAAGTATTAAAATAAAAGTTAAACCATTTTACTAATGTGCCACCTCATCAAATTAGAACGTAAGTGACCAAAACTTAACTTTGTTAAATTTGACGAGCAAAAGTGTAGAAAAATGAAAGGTAAGTGATCATTTTTTCAGTTTACCCAATTAAATTCATTATTTTGAGATAAATTCGATTTAATATCGGATTATTAATATATTTTCTATTAATAATCTATTTTCATTCTCTAAAATTTTATAAGTTCATATCCTCCTAAAAAAATTATAAGTGCTTCTCATACATAAAATGCTTCGTTTTTGTTTTTAAGTAAGCACCTAAATAACGAGTAATCTCTAACTTAGCACATCAAACATTTAAAAAGTTTTTTATTTTTTCCTATTTTTCACAACTGAAGACGATGGTCCAGATTCAATCACATACCATTCTTAACATTAAGAGTAAAATTACCAATTATTAAATAAATTCCTTGGGCTTGACACTTTGAAATAGTAAAAACAAAAATAAAATTCTAACCCACATCTTCCTATTCCTTACTTGAATGAATGAAAGTTTCTTTTACGTAAAAGAACATAAAAGCATAGACCATGACTAATTAACAATAATACCCACGAAATTACATATTTCAGTGTAAAAATAAAAACAAATATATCAGTAAGACCTAAAACGTGTTTGACCATTTTGGCTCCAAAATTATCAAAGTCAGTCCCACTTACCCATTCCACACGCCCTAACCTCTCTGTACATATATGTGGATTCAACATATGGTATTTATATGCGACTGTATTTTAATTCGAATGATATACTTTTATAAATAATAATTTCAAATAGGTTTAAGAGTTTTTTTTAAAAAAAAGTTTACAAGATAATATATGTTTATAATCTTTTTTGATCATTAACAATGTATATATACAATGTAGATGCAGTTGCTCGAACTCAAGATTTCAAGAGAGAATAATATTCTCTTTAACCACCGAGACTACTCGATGATTTCAATAGGTTTAAGAGTTAGTGTGATTATAGGTAAAATTATATAGGATTTATATATGCATACCAGTTGGTTGGAACTTATTATATTACAGGTATTGCGCGTTTTTCCTTGTCATTGAATTCAAACCTTTAACGTAAATAACCCTAGTATTACTGAAAACAATATGTCAACGGTTGAAAGAATAGTAAATTCATAATATTCAACTTTGAATATTTGTAAATATAGCTTTGGTTTCCCATCATTAATCAAACTATCTCTAACTCAAGAAAGCACTGTTTGGGACACCAGTTTCCTTCTACAACTTGCAAATTCACAATGGATCGAACTTTGAAAATTCAAAACCGTATTGGCCAGGTCAAAGCCCATGTTTCTGCAACAATATATATATATATATATATATATGAGCAAACCAGACATTCAAATCCAAGCCAATTACTCTTAACCTAACAAATGGGAGTCCTCAAACAGACAAGTGTTTTCAAGATTTCACTTTTAATCACCTTTTTGTTCATTTCATTTACTGCACGACTCGGTGCTGCCATAAGGCCTTGGCACTGGCAAGGAGAGCAACTGTTCAGGCAAGTCCTGCCCGATTTCAGGTCACTTCAGAGGGGACCGGTGCCACCGTCCGGTCCTTCTTCTTGTACCAACATCCCCGGTCGATCGGGCCGTTGCATCAATGGAATCAATGTTGCCGGCCATCTCCTTCATTCACCGCCGGTGTTTGAGGGTACTACTTCCATGGGAGAATAATCATATCAATAACTATGAAGAAAGATTAATCGATTTCTTCATTGTTATTCTGTGAAGCAGCAGAGTTTTCATACACTAAAGATACTGGAAACTGTAACTAAAACATTGTTTAAATCTTTTCTTCTTTTGTTTTTCGTTCTTTTGTATATATTTTTCTTTTTTTGTAGGACATAGCCTGTGAGCCTACTATAAAAAAGTTTAAAGTTTAATTGGAGTTAAATTTCTTCCATTAATAAAATCTTTTTGTATTCAATCTTTTGAATAAGAAGAATTATTTTTAACTCTAATCACTAAAGTAATTTAAATTTGAATAAGATTTTTTTACATAATATCATATGTATAATTAAAAATAATTTTGATTCACCTATATTTATTAAATGAGATACATTAATCCAACACGTTTATTATGGATTATCAAAATACGAGTGTGATTGAACATGATAATTTGATCATTTTGATTCACAACATTTTAATATACACGTAATTAACCCATATTTAATTAGATGGGATACACTAATTTGATCATTTTGATTCACAATATATATACACATATATAATTTATTCAAAAATAAATAACTTTTAATTTGTAAACTTAATAATTTATTTCAATTTAAGTTTTGAATTTCTTTTATTCATATTAATTCTTTGAACATGATAATT